ACCGCATCCCAAAACCAGTCCAGCTCGTCCCTGCCTCCCTAACCTGTTCTTCCTCCCACCTATCCCCTCCTCCCACCTCAAGCCGCACCTCCATCTCCTACCGACCAACCTCATCCCGCCCCCTTGACCTGTCCGTCCTCCCTGGACTGACCTATCCCCTTCCTAACTCCCTACCTACACTCACCTTTCCTGGCTCCATCCCCGCCTCTTCGACCTGTTTGTTTCCTCTCCACCTATCCTCTCCTCTATCCCTCTTCTATCCGCCTCCCACTCTCTCCCTATTTATTTCAAAACCCCCTTCCCCTCCCCCTTTTCTGATGAAGGGTCTAGGCCCGAAACGTCAGCCTCTCTGCTCCTATGATGTTGCTTGGCCTGCTGTGTTCATCCAGCCCTGCACCTTGTCGCAGAGGTCTTGTTAAGTTTAACAGCGCAATCTCACTACCATTTCATTTGCTTCTTGTCTGGCAGCCGGTCAAATTATCAGTCAGTTGAGACATATGAAAGAAAAATCCGTAACCGCAATTTCAGCATGAGGCGGCCTAGGGGCTGATCCGTGGCAGCAAGGAGAGTAGAAAGTTGACAATTGCAGCAGGACAGGGAGGGAGACAGACGGAGTGGGATAGATGGAGACCATTGGGAACTGAATAAGGAGGAACAGATCTTTGAGAGGCCCTTGTGAGCACTTCTTGCTCCCTCAAGCTGCAGTGCATTTTAAATCAGCCTGTTATTTGTATGATGGGACTCCAAGTTACATGTCAATGAGGTATCCTCCCAGAATGACTGCACGAATGCCTCTATCTTCCGCAGTAAAAAATGCATGATCTATTTGGTGACATGTTTCCTCTACACCTTTAAACTCTTTTTCTTCTGATCCTCTCCCACTGAGCTTATGGGGGGGAAATGTGAGATATGGGGATGGGTGTTGATTTTAAACCCATCCATCTCAGTTAACTTGCACACATTTTAAATTGCTGTTATGAACCAATTCTTAATTTAGAATTTATCCACCAATAAGACAATTTCTGAAATTGTCCTCACACCTAACAAATTTCAAACAGGCCATTTTTGCACAGAACAAAAAGTCCAATGCAATAAAATGATGTTTTTGGGTCTTAAACACAGCAGAGGCTGTAGCTCCTGGCAAAGCAGGTTATTTGATATTCTTTGATGCTTGAGATGTGTGACATAGTAATTAGAATTATGTGACTGGACTTTGCTCTATCTGGTTGAGAGTTTGATGTGAGTAAATGATGGTTAATGTTCCTTTCTGAGCATGTGGTAGCTAGAGTGTGCTTTGGAGTTGGGGGAAAGCAGGGAGTTTCAAGGGATAAGTAGTGATTGAACCAACCTTGAAAATGAGCCGTGAAATTAAATTAATGCTTTCATCTAGTCACAAAAAGCTGCTCTGTTTGACTGGTTGTAGTTTTCATTGTATTTCTGAAACAGGAATCTGCTGGGTCACTCTCAGATGAAGCTGGTTAACTGAACTATTGGTTCTATCCAGTTCAGAAGCATTGTTTTTGTGGCCTGTAAAAACAAGGCAGTGTCAGTGCTGCTTGGCTAGGTATGAGTGCTTGGAGTTGGGTGAAAACAGGGAGTTAGGCAAAGCTGAAGGACTGAGTGCGGCGCTCAGTCTCAGTCTGGGCAATCCAGAAAGTGACAAGGTTCAACAGAAACAGTCAATTGGTAAGTGATACCTGCAGAGGATTTTATTACAGTTTTTAAAGTATAATATATTCGCTTAAAAATAGTAGGGACTTTTGATTATAATAGTGTTGAAATGAAGGAAGGTCCCTAGCTTAATTAAATTCTCTCTAAAGGGAGTAGCCAGTGTACACTAGAGCGAAGTCATGACCTCAGACCTGTAGTAAGCTCCTTTTGTGCAATATGGGAAATAAGGGACACTTCCAGTGGCTGCAGCTACTGGCTAATGGCTTTCCAGAGCTGGAGCTGTGGGTTGACTCACAACAGAGCATCCGCAATGCTGAGAATGACATGGACAGCACATTTGGGGAGGTGGTCACACTACAGGTAAGAATTGTACAGGCAGAAAGGGAACAGGTGATCATCATCCGACAAAGTAAAAGTCTCGAGGAGGAAACGCACGAGTCCTGTGGTCATCACCCTCTCAAACAGATGGCTTTGGATACTGTTGGGGTGGAGGGGAGTGAGGGAATGGACTTTCAGGGAAAAGCAGCATCAACCCCAAGTTCCTGGTTGGCTCTGCTGCACAAAAATGGAGGAAACAAATGGTAGGGATATAGTGATAGAGGATGCAATAGTATGGGGGTCAGTCAAGCGCTGCTGTGACTGCAGATGTGAATCCAGGATGGGACATTGACATCCCGGACCCTGATATTAGGGAGGCAGAGTGGCTGCAGGACATTCTGGAATAGGAGGGGGTTTTTTATTCATTCTTGGGATGAGGGTGTTGCTGGCTAGGGCAGCATTTATTGCGCATCCCTAATTGTCCTGAAGGCAGTTGAGAGTCAACCACATTGCTGTGGGCCTGGAGTCATGTGTAGGCCAGACCAGGTAAGGATGGCAGTTTCCTTCCCTAAAGTGCATTAGTGAGCCAGATGGGTTCTTACGGCAATTGACAGTGGATTCAGTCATCATTAGATGATTAATTCCAAATATTTTATTGAATTCAAATCCTACCATCTGCCATGGTGGGATTTGAACCCGAGTCCCGAGAACGTTAGCTAGATCTCTGGATTAACAGTCCTGCAATAATACCACTAGGCCATTGCCTCCCCTGTGAATAGCCAGTGGTCGTGGTACACATAGGTACCAATGAAGGTAAACAAAGGAATGAAGACCTGAAAGCAGAATGTAGGAAGTTGGGAGATAAATTAAAATGCAGGACCTCCAATATAGTTATCACAGGGTTACTCCCAGTGCCACATGCGAAAGAGAGCATGTGGGTGGAGAAATGGTGTACCAGGGAGGGGTTTAGATTCTTGAGGCATTGGGACTATTTCTCGGAAAGGTGAGACCTGTACAAGCCTCTCAGGTTGCACCTAGGCAGGCCTGGGACAAATATCTTCGCAGGGGCTTTTGCTAGTTCTATTGGTGAGGTTTTAAACTAGTATGGCAGGGTGTTGGGAGCCAACATGTAGGTTTAGATGGGTCAGCTTCAGATCAGGAAAGGGAAGGTAGTGCATTAATTAACGATATAGTCAGTGACTTGGAAAGAAAATAGAAATGAGGATTTAAAAAGCGTTCAGCAAAGGAAATTGAGTTGTGTATCAGTCAATCCAAAGAATATTACAAAAAGGCAGATGAACTAAGGGCACAGACAGACACATGGCTGCACAATGTTGTTGCTATAAAGGAAACCTGGTTAAAGGATTGGCAGCTAATATCCCTGGATCTAGTGCTTTTCAGGCAGGAAGGAGTAGGTGACAAAAAAGGAC